CTCTATAAAAAATAACGTTAATCTTTAAAGTAGTATAGCAATTTGGAAAAATATCAACAAGTTTATTTTCATTAAAATTTCACTGCAAGAGGTTTAAGAATCTAACTTAGACAATAATAATAAGTAAAATTTACACTGAATGCACTCATTCAGCATTCACTAAATGTTCGGCTACGCTAGCTGTATAGTAATATTACGTATACGTTTCAAATCTAATTTATCGACATTTTCTACGTCTCATAGACTTCTATTTAAATCTATAATCAGCTAATCCAACGCAACGCTTAGCGTATCTTTATTAAATCTGCGACGCATACTTTGTCTGTAGATTTATCTAAAAATTTTTAAGTAATGCTTCTCTTGTTTATGTTATTGTATTCTGTTCGCACACTAGTACTTAGGTAATTATTTAGTTTTCGTGTCGTATTCCTTAAGTTTCTTATCTGATGTGTTGAATGTTGCTCATGAACTTCCTTATTGACTTCAACTTGTTACCTTCACAAATGTCCCTCTTCATCACATGCTTCTGTAATTTTTTATTAACCATATTGAGTCTCTTTAAAATTTCCGTACAAAAAAATAATTAAAATTGCAGATTCAGATTTCGACAAATAATTAAATAAATTTCCAAAATCAACTTTCTCATCCTCATTTTCACGAAAATTTCTGACTTTTTTTTTATAATATCATAATTATTTTTAAAGTTTTGATAGCCATTGTCATCAATGGAGGCTGGGGGCCCTTTTTATCTTCGGAGCCCTGGGCTGCAGCCCAAAAAGCCCATATATAGATCCGCCCCTGCAAGTGCGTATCATATTCTCCAGACAGAATATGAATTTACATTAAGTCATATTAAGATACAAACTGCTTAAATATTATATAATATATTTAAATTTGCAAGATCATAATGACGATGGAACTAACACGGAGGACGAGTCCATTTATGATATAACATTTTTTATTTATCTAATATGACATCAGTGGTTTAATTTGTATTTATGCTATGTAAATATGTTAATATGATGTAAGTGTACAAATAAATAATGAACACAATAAATATTTTCATTTTACCAAAAATGTAACTAGGTGCATATGGTCCTAAGTTGTATTGTTTTGTTCAACAAAGATGCGCTTGTTAACGCCACCTGTTCTTGCTGCACCTGCTGTCATCCACACAAGAGCATACATAATATTATTACAACTACAAGGTATTGTATTGCTCACCCGCTTTTGTGAGCCCCGACCACAAGGCAAAATAAATGACATATAATAAAAATATCATAACAGTGTTTAGTACACAAAATATTTTATAAAACCTTGCAAGACTTTGAATTTGAACAATCATTTATTATCAATAATGCTATATCTAAATTAGTAAAATGGTTGAACGTTAATAATTAGCATTTAAATGGTGCTAAAAGTAAAACTCAAAAATCTCATATAAAATTTGTATCCGCGTCTTAAAATGTTCAATGTCAAAGGTAACACAAATCGGTTTTTTGCCAATATCTCGCAAAAAACTGATTTTTGTGACTTTTGACCTTGAATTATCTTAATACGCGTACACGAGGATTTTTTTTGAGACTTGGGACCACATTCAGAATGCCAAAATAAATATTTATGCAAGTTTACAGCTTACTATCTCTCATTCCGAGGTTGATCATTTTTTTTGGCTTATATGACCGGATAACAGTGAATTCCGGACGGGTTTAGTACACTCCATAAAAAATCCGTTCCACAGACTACTAAGAGAATACTACGCATCAGGTGGAGAGTAGTCAGCAGACAATAATAATTATTATTTCGTGTCCGCGCAGTTCAATGGCTAAGTAAAGACATAATTTACGTAACTGGATTCACTCATTTGCAACCACATAGTACCTACCTACTTTTTATATCCCTGGCATTTGCAACCAAGAGTAAAGTTCAGTTATTTATTAATATTATATATTCTGTGGTTCAGTGCCCTTAGCAAAAATGGTATGGTCTTGTAAAAATTGGAGAAAAAAATTGATCTTTAAATGTGGAAAAATAGGGTATGAAATTTTTAACTGACTCTTAGCACCGACTTCAGAAGCTGTGATGTGGAAATCATTTTCTTTTTACTTTGAAGTATGCGTTCATTATTTTTTATGTTTTTTTTTAAATTAAAAACATTATTGTTCTTACCATAAAGGTTACAAATGCCAATTAGCATTCTCTGCCAGTCAACCCATGGCGTGGTGAGAAATTATTGGCTGGTGACTTAAATAACTAAATATAATAAATTTATATAGATATAATACATTTTAAACTTTACTTTTACCAAAGTTTATTTTTTGTATTCATCTCTCAATTGCGAAACGAATTCGATATGATAAAAAAATTATGCTCAGTGCGATAATCATTATTAAACCTTGACTGACTATTGACTGATAAACATTGACTTCAATTTAGCTTCCAATGTCATTATCGAATTCTTGTTTGATTATGCACCTTCGTCATTCAGTTACCTAAGTATACCTACAATAGGTTGAACTTGTCTAAGTGTCATTTTGCAACAATGCAACAAAAAGTTACTCGTAAGTATTTAAAAAAATAACACAATAACCTACCATGATCCATGAGTCCTTGGGATTCACTTTGTGTATAAATAATTTACGCAATGAGATGCGCGCGCGTGCATATCGCACGTACGTAATACTATTATTTATTCTGTGGTATTAGATACATCGAGAGGAAGGAAAAATACTCAATAAAACGTACAAAATCATATACAAGCTTAAACTTGTTGACTGAGTCACTGTGGTTCGTAGTGAATTAAGGACTGAGAAAAAATATTTTAATATAAATATAGATATGACAAATACCTATTATCTAGTAAAGAGCATAATTTATTGAAAATTTGCAGACGTAAATATATTCCGAGCAGTGATGAGGAGTAACAATTTGGTATATAGTGTCACAGCTTTTATTTATTTTTTGTGCAATAGAGAACCATGAATATCATACTTTTATGCAAGTACAATGCGATTCAAATAAGAACAGGAACGTCAATGACCTCGAATTTTTTCGTTTTATTTAAGGTGGCTCTTGTAGAGTTAAGTGACATCGAACGTTGCTACATTTATTATTTACTAGCTGTTTCCCGCGACTTCGCGTGGAATTTATTGCGATTGGATTTCATGGGTTTTATTTTTCACCGCGGAGCCCTAATTCTTTTCCTAAAATAAAAATTGCCTAAGTTACTTCTTATAACCTCAGCTATCTGCCAGTGAACGTCCCATCCAAATCGGTTCCTAAGTTTTAGCGTGATGTGTGTTCAGACAGACGTCGTGTTTCCGGTTATTTAAAATCGTGTAAATTATTGTACTGGAAACATTTTGAAAATTATCTAATCCGGTTTTACAATTTATTCCGATTATGAAAAACGACGTTGACGAGTATGTTTACCTGGGACAAATAGTCCAAATAGGTAAGTCCAACTTCGACCGAGAGGCCAATCGACGGATTCAACTCGGCTGGGCAGCGTTCGGGAAATTACGACACATCTTCTCGTCAGACATACCTCAAAACCTTAAAACGAAATTGTACAAACAGTGCGTGTTGCTAGTGATGACTTACGGATCTGAGACGTGGTCCTTCACTGCTGGCCGTATGAGGAAGTTCAAGGTCGCTCAGCGAGCTATGGAGAGGGCTATGCTCGGGGTTTCTCTGCGTGATAAACTTAGAAATGAGTATATCCGCAGTAGAACCAGAGTAACCGACATAGCCCAACGGATTAGTAAGCTGAAGTGGCAGTGGGCCGGCCATATAGCTCGAAGAACCGACAACCGATGGGGAAGAAAGGTTCTAGAGTGGCAGCCTCATACCGGTAGGCGAAGTGTAGGGCGAGCCCCTACCAGATTGAGTGACGACCTGGTAAGACATGCAGGAAGTCGATGAATGCAGGTGGCTCAGGACCGTGCTTTGTGACATTCCTTGGGGGAGGCCTATGTTCAGCAGTGGACTTATGAAAGGCTGTAATGATTAATGACTACAAGACTTAAGTGACCTCGAAAGACGCACGTACACATTTACACAATTTTGTATAGCATCAGTCCTCGGCCTGTGTCGGCACACAGGCTTTTACGCAATCAGGCGTACGTATTATGTTCAGAAATAAGAATATGCGACTTAAAAAAAGTCTATTGATTGGACTAAAAAATTAAAACACTATTATATTAATATGTTGTTTGTAGAGTAATCTAACAAACAACCAGAATTATTGCATGTATACGAGTATTAGTATGGTTTTTAATCGTTGAAAGAATTTTTAAAGGTATCTTTGTGATTTTTTTCTATCGTATCGAATTAGTAGTATCATGTTTTCAATACACTATCTAACCAGCATAATATATCCTGAGAAATATCAAATGTTTTTCTGATTTTATTCATTGCAATGGATCATATACTTTCAGGCATTATAAAATTTGCGTTTCGCTCCTGTAGTCCCCTTAACTGAGCTTTAATATTACAAAATATATTGACAGAGCAAGATCCCAGGGCCACCAGACGTCACTTATTTTCTGATGAACGAAATGTGTAGATAGTTTGGCCAGAGGGCCATTTTCCAGGTATCAGGTAGTCTAGATGCGTATAAACATTGCTCACCTCACGTGAATTCTCCTACCTGATTTTTACGTATTGGATCGGCCGGCCTTCTTGTAAAACGTTTTAACGTTGTCTGGCTAACATATATAAAAATAGAGATTCAGAATGTAAGGTAGATTGAGTAATTTTTTTGAGAGCTTTAAGCGTCTGCATGACGGCACAATATGGTCCCAGGTCAGTCCTATTCCTATTTGAATTTGCATTAGTGGTGTGGCTCATTTGCACGACCTACATCTATTTCTATAAGATTTAAAATGTTAACGTTTTTTTTAAATTGAATTTATATAAGTCACCAAAATGAGACAAAGAATGGCATCCGTTTTTCAAATATATTTTAACTTGTTATATATATAATGTTTTTCTTTTAGTGAACCTGAGCGTCTTCACAACTGGCATGAACATAGCATGGCCGTCCCCGATGCTCGTGAAGCTCAGAAATGCCACAGAAACGCCTCTGTATCGTCCTATTACCGAGGAAGAGGGTTCCTGGATTGTATCAGTTGGCAGTATATGCTCTATATTTTGTAAGTTTCTTACATAATTTTCTAACGTACTTCTAAACGTGATGAATGAAAAACCATAAAATTAGGGGTTTTTTTGCTGACTTTAAAATAGGAGGAAGTTCATTTAGACTGTATGTATGTCTGTATGTATATTTATTAATTTCTTTGGTACGATCTGTAGCCTAAAAGGTTTGATGGATTTTAACATAGTAAGTTGTGAAAGTGACATTGGGTATAAAGTTTTCTCTTTTCTCTTCTTGTAATTTTTATTTTAAAGAATTGCGTCTTTCTTTTATGGTATTTAGTTATAAGAAAGTATTAACCCCAAAAAATAATTTAGTTTATGTCGTCGCGCCGCAAGCGAAACGCACCAAAACCTATCGCACTATCAGTTCTGAAATACACGTGCTACGAGTATTTATAGAACAGCTCCAAAATAACACATGGAGCGTTGGCCGCTTCCCTGGCTAAACCTTGCCCCTCGGGAAATTTCCCCTTTTCCTTTCACGGCCAAAATGATATAAGGTACGTGAGGGTAATATGGTCACCTGATTATTACTGATTATTTATCATAATAGTTTTAATAATTTTAGGAATTTTGAATTAATTAATTATACAATTTTATTGGCTGTAAAATGTAAGGACGTATATACACTAGGTGCTTCCTTTACATTGTATATACAGAGAGAACGCACTGATTCAAAATGTATTAATATTTATTTTATTTAAAAGTTTTATAATAAAATTGCAAGGTAAATTACAACAACGCACTAATAAAGAATCTGAATATATTCATCAGAGGGCTGCAGTGTTAGATCAACAAAAAAATATGGTCACCTTAAGCTTTGCCGACCCATAAAATCAATACCAGGAGGAGTTCAAAGATAAAAACACAAAGTCGTATACTACAACTAATATATTAAGAAAATAATAGCAAACAAGCTCTGACAATAACTAAGAACACTTCTAAAATCAACTTAAAAAAAATATTACACTAGGCAATACTGAAATCGATTAAAATATTTACTATAATATCAACTGTCAAAATGGCATCGATAAAGCAGCGCCCTTTGTTTGGGTCACTTTATTATTTGATTGACTAATGAAGAACTATCGTATCACAGAGCTTTCTACGCAAATAAGGCTGTAGTTTTGTGTTATAACAAAGTGGCTATATTAGCCGGATGACCATATTACCCTCACGTAGCACGTATCACGTACGCTGTAAAGCATGCTGAAATTGAAAAATAACAGACTGTTTACCAACATTTGAAAGAAAATAGAAAAGAAAGAAAACAAACACCAACACACATGTTACAACTTTACAACAATCTTTTTGAACGACCGATTGAGGCCATATTTACACAATACATTTATTTCTTTGATACGATGTTGATCGCTATAATATGTATGTCAAAAAGAGTCAAAAAAGTTATCTCACTTTTTCTAATTTAATTTTCAAATAAGGCAAAATTTTAGAGAATATTTAGAGATGTTTCGTATAATTCATGCGTTATTTTTTAACTGTGAAGTGCTTTAACGTAATAAAAACAGAACTTTGGTCTATTTATACTATCCCAAATACGAGAGTAAGTCGTATACCTACTTTGATTAACTAGAAAAATGTCATCCTTATTTAGTAGTATTATGTGTGGCGTTATTTTACAAGACATGTCACGTTTTTTATCTATAGCGATTTGATTTTCAATGTTAACATAACTCCACATCAATATACTTATTTTTGTTTATTTTTTTATTGATTACACGATTAGAATTATTATTCACACGATCAAGTGAGTTGTTTACGAGATCAAGTGATGATGATTATATTATCGATCCATATTCACTAGACAAAGATACGTATGAAATGGTAGATTACATTGTACATTTTTGTGTCGCAATCTTTAAAAACAAATAGTCAGTGAGGATGAGGAATGAATAGTAAATTTGACACTTACTGATTAGTGATTACACACGTTACTGATATTTCTTAGTAATCTAATAAAAAGCAAGGTTCATATAGTAAGCAAGTAAGTAAGGTGGAATCCAATTTGTAGTCCTAATTTTAATATGATGATTTACCTTTTGCTTAGTTGAAAATGAAACAATCGAGAAAACTATATCTGCATGGAAACGAGGCATTCCATCTCAGGGTTGACAACGCATCTGCATTTTGATTCTTAATCGAGGATAAATTTAGATATCTATGGGCCACAGAATCCACTCACCATCAGGTGGACTGTGTGCTCGCTTGTCACCCTTTTCTATAAAAAAAATGGATTAAAATATTTGTAAATCATGATGTGAAGCTCCAGGATCTTGACAATGCCGTGAGGTAGCAGATGGAATGAAATATGGAATATGCAGCAGTATCCTCGTGAAAAAAAACTCAAAATAATGGAAAACTGTCCTTGCCAACCCGCCTGCAAAGGGACTTAGGCTTATGAGGTGATCTATGATGGATGCCTATATCTAGCAAAGGACTTTTTATAGGCTGTGATGAATGAATGAATCTTGTGGAGGTAGAGAGGAAAACGGGCAATACGTTCGTAGCCGATTTACTTCTAGAGAGGAAAGAAGAGGCACACCGCGGTCATGCCGCTTTATTTATACTATCGTATCAGTGCCCTCTATGCACGTTCCGAGGTGTCGATTATACATATAAAAAAAATATTATTTCAAATAGGTACTTGGTTGCAGGTTTATGGTTTATTTTGCTGTGAATCTCATAATAAAGCTAAAAAGCGCTATCCACTACACTAAACCTTACTAGGATTTTCTCCTTTATCGTGGAGGCAATTTACAAACATATATTGCACAAGGGAAAACCATCCAGATCTGGAACAATTATTTGTAGGCTATACAAATCGTCGTATTTTTAGTTTTCCATTAAGTCTTATATATTTAATTTTCTGATGAAAAAAAGCTAGTAATCGGGGAATAATAAATGATTTCTTGCTCTCCCGTAATTTTTTTAAAAATTGAGGTTCGCCCCTTTGCGGTGTCTAAGACGAAATATTTATTCCGTTCGGGATGCGAACCCGCAGCGGCCAGCGCTGTAACTCATTACTAAGGCACTGCGCGACGGTGTCGCCGGATAGTAATTAGGCAGAAATATCTGAATGTAAGTCGATTTTTCAGTGACATTTTAAACGGTATATTTTAACCCACCACTATAGTGCGAAATAACGGATTATTCGACTATGTTTTTATTGTAAGATATTCTTTTTTTGATACTATTAAGTATTATACAAACTGGATTATTAAAAATTATTAATTTTAATAAGTCCTAGACAGTATGACTTTATCGACAACGTCTTTTGTTTCGCTAATGGCACATCAATTGTGATGTTTCCAGTGTGCCCAGCACTACGCTTGAAGTCGTTGAAAAATATGTATGTTTACCTAATACAAATTGTCCAATTAGATAAGTCCAACCCTGATCGAGCGGTCAATCGACGGATCCAACTCGGCTGAGCAGCATTCAGAAGATTATAACAAATCTTCTCATGAAAACTTGAAAACAAGATTGTAACTAGTGCGTGCTGCCAGTAACAAAATATGGGTATTTACAGCTGGTCGTATGAGAAAGTTCAAGATTGCTCATCGTGCTATGGAGAGAGCTATGCTCAGAGTTTCCATGCGTGGTAGACTTGAAAATATGAATAATAGATTGTACAACCTCTCATATTGCATAATTTACTTAAAAAAGTCCCACTGAGTTTGTTGCTGGTTCTTCCCAGGACAGAAGTTTTTCCAAACCAATGGTAGAGTAACGAAATGAATTCAATAACAATTACATGTAATCTAAATTGAATTAAAATTTATTCTATTCTATTCTATCCGCCAGAATCAGAATATTTCTTTATAGGATAAGGGTGACAAACGGGCACACAGTCCACCTGATGGCAAGTGGTTGCTGCGTCCCATAGACATCTACATCAAACAAAATGCAGATGCGTTGTCACCTGTGAAGACTAAGATGGAATGCCTCATTTCCAGTAAAAAGCTTCTCTGGTTCTCTACACTCACCATACGAAACACAGCAGCGTTAAGCTGCTATTTTACGCTGGTATTCTGTGAGAGCGTCATCCTTCCCCGGTCGAGTCGACCCATTCGTGCAACAACTATGCTACGTACGGATATAGCCCAATGTATTAGTAAGCTGAAGTGGCAATGGGCAGGCCATATAGCTTGAAGAACCAACAACCCGGGAGGAAGAAAAGTTTTCGAGTGGCAGCCTCGTACAAGAACCATGCCATGCAGGTAGTCGATGGCTGCATGTGGCTCAGGACCGTGCTTTATGGAATTTCTTGGGGGAGGCCTATGTTTGGCATTGGACTTGTGAAGAGCTGTAATGATGATGATGACGACGTTAAACGAAGCTGTATAATTAGGACTTGGCATGTTATGTTATGGCTGTATTAGTGGTATATATTTTGAGATTTTACTGGGACCCGTTTCGACGATCCTTTGTCCTATAAAAATCCTTAAATTCGCAATAAAGATAGTGATGAGTTATATCTCTCAAGTTGACGCAAGTAATACACGTTTACAAAATTTCATTATAATAATAATAATATCGTGTATTCGTTTAAACATGGTACGTGGAGGTGACAAATAGCTGCATGTTGTTTACTGAATATGTTTACCACATCGGGCATGCGAAAATTATTTTGCATAATATATTGAATCATTTTCATAATTAAGCAAAACAATTCCTTTGTTTCTTTGTTTTTAAACAAAGTTCGTCGTCAAAGTCGTTTTCTTGTTGTTTGTCATTATTATACATTATGTTAACATCGAGTTTGTTTCTGCTATTACTATAGATTTGTACGTAACAGATTAAATTATTATCATATAACCATGAAAAGAAATCATTTATTGCGCAGTGATTTTCGTAATAATGTTTATTCCACGTGTATTCTTTACAAGCCATGATATTATGTCATCGGCAAACAAAATGCATGGAGTTGGTTGGTTGGATTCCAAAGTGAATATGACAATTTCTTTAATTTTTT